TCCGGAGACATATGTACTTAATTAACATAATGAAACGAAAAAGTAAATAGAAAGAAATAAAAGGAAAAAGATATGCACACTCTATGGCCTTATGCTCCTAATTTGGTTATATTAATTCATAGTAATTCAATTAGTGGTGCTTGGCGACGTGTCACATCGTCAGGGGTCAGAATCGCACCATACATGCGTCTGACAGTTGTCTGGGAACATGTCTCAGACTCGCAGGTCATTAGGGGCAGATCAGATACCTTTCGGGGTGTCCGGTTCGCAGGCGCAGTATGGGTCCCGTGGCACAGTCAAGGTCAGTATTGTTACAAGGACAATATATGAAGACTAGAGATTCTAGTTACTCTCACAAACAAAGCTGATAATAATAATTGCTTATTCCTTAATAATATAGGTCTCTTGTATAAGGTTAGGTAACAATATCTATAAGAAAATTCAATTCAATTCTATTCATTAAATACTTCTATTATACTTAAACAATGAATATGCCAAATTTTTTTTTGTGATTTAAAGGCCAATCTGCATAAAGTAACTATAGCATCTTTATATATTAAGATAGTAACTATGAATTAAATCCAACAATAATGTCATTACTGACTCCTTTTGCCATACATCAAGCCATATTTGGAAAGCAAGAATATTAATCCTATTCATGATTTGGAGGCCAACCTGTAGAAAAATGGCTGCAGTGCTTTCATATGTTTAGGTAATCAAACAATCTCTAAAAAATTAGATGCTATTCAAGGCTTTAATATAGATTTTAAATTCTTTTACTATATTTCTTGAGTGGTGCCTGAAGTATAGATGAAAGATTATACTAGTCTTGCATTTAACTTTACTTATAATTTAGAAAGACATATGTTATTCTGCCAAATTGTAAACCTTTTTCTAAAAGTTAAAAATTATAATAAAATACAAAGAGCAATAATTATCTTTTTCTAAGATATACTGTATATTTAGTTACTTCATATATTCTTTTGGAAAATTAATACTATTAATAATTACATTTTATATATACTATATGCTATTCTATATGTTACCATTATTTTAATAAAAAATATATATTATTATATTATATTACATTTGATAATTTGATTGATATAAAAATAAACAATTAGGTATATACATACATAATATTCGTATAATAAACCGGAAGTATTCTACGGGGTACTTTTGACCGCGCTATACGGTACAATATTGATAATTTTCTTTTAATATAAAAATCATCCTAATGCGGTGTCACCTGTCCATCCGTTACAATGCGAAGCATAATTAAAATGGAAATTTCGCAAATTATGTTGATGTAATAAATATTCCGATTTGAAATGTTTGTCTTTATTACGTATACTGTATACTGTAATTTATTACAGTATATTTTGTATATTGATACATATATCGTGATTTCCAGCGACCCGAATGGAAGAAATTTTATTTTATTTTTTTTCTAAAAAAAATTCTTGGTTAAAATGTAACGTGTGTTCTATTAAGAGGGCATTGCTAATGTAAAAGCAAAACTCATCTATTTGTTCTGCAATTTTTTTTTTCTAAAAAAATTCTGTTAACTTCTGTTTAACTCTTGAGAACATACAGTATTTTTAAACGATTCGTATATGTTAATATATTCTTTTTTTCCAATTATCTAAGATATTTTTACTACTCTTGAGTAAAGCATTCGGACGTAATTCCTTCCATGATAATGAGAATTCGCCTACCGTTCATAGCCTCAACGTGATTCTCCATTAATAGTCGCACCATCAGAACTAAATTATCCCTCCGAATAATTGCCAGGAATCACCCTTAAGCTTGTTATCTTTACGCCTTTTAAAGGCCCTTCTGTGCAGTGACACACACAACCGTCTTCTTTATCGTGCTAAAGCATACCTTTCTTCTTTGTCATCCTCATCCAATTAGGGTGCAAAAGAAACACGTTAGAACGCACCAAGACATAAATTTCCGATCGTAAAGTTTAAAAGGATTATTTAATTCGGCAAACTTCAGCGAAATAAAATCCATCTCCCGAAGAAATGAAAATATTAACAATATGCATTTATATACTGTATGATATGGGAACTCTATATGATATCACGCCAAAGAGCGACCTCTATCCATTTTTCATTTTAATGCCACATTATGTTTCCATTTAATAGCTAGACAAAACACACATGGTTAAACTTAATCTTTTCACTGAGACGTTCAATGATCACTTCCTTTTCAAGAGTTTCCTGGAGTTGATATTTGTCTTAATTACAATTCAAAGAATATTGTCATCTTGTATGCTATAATGATATGCGAAAATAATTTATTTATTTATTTTACGCATCATACATTCAAATCATTTATTGTAACTGCATCAAAGAACCAAAATTACTCAGACGCATCAAAATTGACGGTATTTTTCCTATTTTAGATTCATGGATTTACAATATTATCGAGGAACATGACCTTTTCTAACTACTCTTAAAATTCCAAAAGTGGGTGAGATCTAGCCCATTTCTTGTAAAGATGAGTTTACAGAACCGTTGATGTTTTGTCCATTATGATTTCCGTTCATTAAAGAACCATTATTTTGCATTCCATTATGACCTCGGTAGCTCGCGGCTTGTTGACTCTGGCCATAGGTAGGGTAGGTGGAATGCATTAATCCAAATTGACTATCATTCGTGTTCGGAATCATGTAGAACGGGTTGAATGAAGTGGGCCAATGTTGCTGTTGTTGCTGCTGCTGAGGGTTGATCGGTGGAAGTATTGTTTGAGAACCTATCCCACTATTCAGCATAGATAGCGATTGATTTGAAAGAGAGAAATTGTTTAGTCCTTGATTAATGTTTTGCCGGGGTACCGTCAAATACTGATTCGTCATAAAAGAGTTTGGTGGGCGAATCCGACTGGGACGCGGTGCAATATTTCCATGCATGATCGATGAAATGGGAACTGGGTTTCTAGGATTTTTAAGTATTTGTTCTTGCCTCGTAAAATTGATATTTTGATTTTGATTTTGAATGGTCGACGTATTCACGGTATTGTTGTTTATCAAAGAATCTCTATGCTCAGGTTTTGATGTGGACAGCATCTGTTGAGACGATTCTCGCTGATATACTTGATCGATCACGTCAATGGGTTTCTGTTCCAGAATCGGTTGATTAGGAGGTTGACCGCTCTGGTTAAGACTTCTCTGACGACAGTTTGGTGTCAATTGGCAACTCTGACTTCTTTCACAGTTAGTTAAAGTTGACTGAATATCGTGACTGGAATTTCCCTCCCGAAGAGCAAGGATCAGTTGACCACCATGCGGATTTCTCTCCTGGTTTTCCGAATTCATTTGTCTGCCCTGACCCTTAACCCCATCGATATTGTTCAAAATTGTCGTATTACTTTGATCCAAAATTACATCCAGGTTAGCCTTGGTTATTTGATTGTTTTGTGTTGATGCCTCGCAGTTAGCTGAATTTAAAGGTTTGAAAGGGTTTTCACCAGTATCCTAAGTAACGAAGTATTGTTAGTAAAATTGTATATAATGACAAACTAAAAAGCACCAACGGAAAACTACCTTTGATGGAACGTAAGGATAAGAAGTATTAATTTTGTATGTCATTTTGGTGTTTTTTACTATGATTCCTTGTGCAACGGCATCGAAGAGATGCTTTTTCGCGTGATTTTGAAATTTTTCAGGAACAACATAATTACTGTCAGAAATATAAATGAGTTGAAATTTTAATAATGATAATTAAAAATAACCATTTCAAATAACGAGGCAGTCGCACCTTTTTATCCAACTGTAAATACTGTGTGCAGAACTTCCATTTGGTTGATTCATCACCGTGATTGCTTTTATGAAAATATCAACATAAAAAGCAAAATATTTTTTTGGAACATTCGCACTGGGTAAGGAACTTACAGTGGGTTCAGGAGTCATGACTTCCGGAGTTTCTCTCTTCGGAATGATAGAATCCTCACCCACTTCGTGTTGAGCTGATGATTCTGAAGTGTCCATATGTACATTTGATTCCTCCACCGCTACCTCTGTCTTCGCCTGAAGGTTTGACTTTGATTTTCCATATTTTGACGCGTTAACATCTCTATACTTTTGTAAGATATTTGCCGGATATAACGGTATATTGGGCGCAATTTGTTCCGCTAAGAGCAACAGGTTAACCAAAACTTCTTTTGGTAAAGAAGAAAAATATTCGATTTTCTGTAAAATTAAATATGAACAAAACAAATCAATTGGAAGATTATAATGATCTTGAAAAATATAAATAATAAAAAAACAACTAAAAATAATAAAATAATAAAGAAAAAGATGGAAAACAGTTAAAATTAGCATTATCCAAATCACCTGTTCTCGCGTCAACAGTATTTCTATTTGCTTATAGGTTAGTAATTTTGAAGCTGAACCAACCCGATTTGCTGATGTCATTGATTCACCGAGGTGTTCTTTGGAAATCTCGGTGGAATCACTCCCTAATATTATGCTTGACTTTTCATTCTTTGGTCTCCCACGGGACTTTCCCGTAAGATTTCGCTTGTCGATCCTCGCGCGTTTGTTTGCACTTGGACAGTCTACGCAATTAAGACATTTCCATTCTTTCTCAGAATCAGCAAATTCATCACTGATAACCGGCTTATGACATATTTGATGGTAGGGTGTATCACAATTGTCACATAAAATAATCCAATTTCCTTTTTCAGATAAACCTTCTTGACAAATATTGCAAACCATACTATCATCACTCTCTAGTTCTTCACTGAAGAAAGCTAGGTTAGGCTGATCGCGAGAATCTATGTATTGATTAAATACTTGAATATTTTCTAGTGGACTTTGCTGCACACTCTTGGGAACAATTGGCGTTGGAGTCATAGCATGATCCACTCTCATTAACGCATCATATGCTTTGTTCTGCGTGCTTCTGGCCGTCTTATGTTGACGTCTTTCTGTAAATAGTAAAGAAAATAGAAGAAAATAATTCGCGTTTCGTAACAAATTCCACAGTAACCAAACGGTTTGTACGTGCAAGATGACTATTTACCCGCCGTTCTCTTTACTGGAGTCTTCTTAGACTCGACCAATATTTTTTGTTGTTCGTTCGATACCTCGGACGGCTTAACTTTCCGCTCAGACTTGGCCGGATTATAGAAAATAGGTTTTTGAACTTTTCTGCCAGACTTTGTTATCGATGGAGTTAGGTCGGCGTCTTCTGTAGTATCTAAATACATGCACATTTGATGAATTGGAAAGTTAATAAAATTTAACTTGACAATGCTTACCCTTAGAGGAGTCAATGTCACTGTACTCATCGGCAGAGTGCTTTTGATCGTTCGTAAATTGACTAGGTTCGGTATCGGCTTTGGTCTTCTTTCGTACGGGAGTCTTTCTCGTCCCCTTTTTTTTGCCCTTCTCAGACTGTTTGTATTTAGTGACGGGAATTGAAATGTCTTTTTGAACAATCAAAACAGGTTGGACAGATACCTCACTAACTTGAGCAGATGAACTCTGATCCATATTTTCGATTTCTTTCGTCGAATTATCATAAGGTATCTCTCGTTTGTTCTCATCATTTTTACCTTCGACAGGCTGAACTTGTTCTGAAGTTATAGTTTCCTCCACTTCTGTCCGAGTATCGCAATCCTCGTCCATAAATTCTTGATGATGTTTCAACGCGTCATCTTGCAACGTCTGTGGTTGTACCACCCGAACAAAATCTTCATCAATTTCGAAATCACCGTCTTCCTCTCCCTGTATGCCAAAATTGACATTGTAAGCATTAATGAACCCGTGACTCGCTCCGAAATCCTGCATAAAACCCACCCATTCGCTAAAAGAAACTTTGTTATATGTGTCAGATAAAACGTTGTTTTGTTGTGTCACGATCATATTAATATCTGCTGCGTTATCAGATAAGGAAGTCACTTTATTTTGAGCCACCTCGTTCATGGCGTTGTTTGTGTTGGTGTACGTGTCATGAAGCTTAATAATAACTTCTTCGTCATAATCCATCATATCGAGTCTCGATTGTTGTTTTTTTCCTGTTAATGTTATAAAGTTTACAAAAAGCGCACGTAAAGTCTATCTAGAACAAAACTGCTTGTGGGAGAAACCAAAAAGTTTAGGTAAACAAGAATAAAAAATAGACGCGCGAATTTTTTTTTTTTTTTTTTCACCCCGCAAAAAAATCACCGTTAAACAGCTGAAAAAGATAAAAACAAACTTTAGAAATTTCTTGAATCAAAGCGTGTCGACTTTTTCGCGTACGCAACTTACTTTATTTAAGGCTATGGAAGTGAAGAGGAAGATTGGGTTATTTTCTTTTTGGTGTGAAAAAGTTTTGTCCTAACCGGTCTATTTAAAGGAAGTCGATTTTGCACGTGTCGGGTTTCTTTATAGGGGTTGATCATTATTTTGGATTCCGCAGTAAAATCGTCATCACACATCCTATGTAATTCATGGATTCAACGCGCACATGATAAGCTCGAAATGCCATTTAGATTCCAATCAACAATCATCAGTTGTTTAATATTGTTACCTCAGATGTGTTTATTACCCTTTCACGTGTGTATATGCTCAAAGACTAAGTGTATGCGCGAGAAGAAACCCAAAATCACGATACCATTAAAAAAAAAACGTCAACATTATGGAATAACAGAAATTTTCACAGATCACGTGAAAAAATTTCTAATTAAGGCTAAACCAACGCGTTATATCGCCAACATACTAAGGAGTAAAAAGAAATTTTTCTCAAGACAATTCAACCAACGCGTCTATTACATTACATTCATAGGTTCGATTTATGGGCGAAAGTGGAATCCAACCTTCCTCGATTCCCAACATGAAATTCCAGTGCGGTGATGCTTCGGCTTTGAAATTCCAAAAGATCCAACCGATCCTGTTGTTACAAATCTTCGTATTTAATGTTACCAAGCAGAGAGTTGAGAAAAACATGATGGAAGAATATCGTACCCTGCTTCATAGGCATTCATCTGAGCGGACGCAAAATCCAATAGAAATCTTCTATATTCCAAAGTCCAATTCCAATAATCTTCCGTCCCTTGACACTTGCAAGTGGCACATACAGGTCCTCTTCCACCAAAAGTTCCATCGTACAACGCACCTCTGCCAAAACCATTTAACCATTTCGTACAATCGGTATCAGCGAGACTCCTAATTCATATTATTATTGGTGATTCATATACAATGCAAGAAACTGCCGATCAAATCTTCCAGAGATTTTTCTTACCACTCTCCAACCAACGTCCAAACTTTTTCGGTCGAGTTCAAGATGTCAGGTATATTCGAGCATATTGAATTTATTCGTTGCGCTTGATTCAATGCTAGCAGCTCATAACTAAACACAGTGTAAATATGAGTATCCAATACGACTCGCGAAAATTTCCGTGAACTTAGATAATCGTCCCAACTGGACAGAGGAAGGAATGCGGTATGGAAGACGACCAGGATTCCACTGTTAATATGACGAACTGCTTCATATGACTTGGTGTAGAATTTTTGGGTGACATTTAGTTGATTGCCTCCCCAGCTATATAAATGGGTTGAACCTGGATTAATTATTTAGAAAAACGGTGTCGCCCGAAATTTAATTACAGTATACCTGGCGGGTTCATTCAAAACGTTAATCGCCGTAACGGTATTTTTGAATTCTGAACAACTGAATCGTTTTGTCATAATTTTCACCGCATTTATGGTGCGTGGAATGTTATCTGGGTCTCCGGTTTGCCATCCAATTGGACCGCGTCGACCACTATTATCAAATCCATTCTATGGTGAGAGAAAAGATGACATTAGAATTATAACGGTTATAGTATAAGATATCGAAGATCTACACGAAACGCAAAAGTCATTGATCACCTGAGATCCGGGAGCCCCATGCAAGTCCAAAATAACTTTCATGTTATACTTTTTCGCCCATCTTACAGCTTTCAATAGGTAGAGATAGGCCCCCTGGACGAATGGTTCTTCGGGTTTTTTGTCAAACGCCCAGTAGCCTATCGGAATCCTGTTTGTGCGATGAGTTGTCAACATTGGCACGTGACGTTTACGACAAAAGCGAAAAACAAATAACCTTAGGTGATTTAATCCGTAGGAAGCCAACTTTCTGATGTCAGCTTCTGTCACCCAAGTATTCCAATGACTTCGGAGCTGTCGCCTAGCCTCCTCGCACCCAAGAACTTGTGTAAAGGTATATTCGTCTACGGCTTGTATTGTGGAGTTCACGAATTGGTCGAAAAGACTCGGTCGAATCCCTAATTTCAATGAAAATAGATATAAGTTTTCATGAATTTTGAAGCGAAGAAAAAAGGCTTTTGGTCAAGGGGACGTATTAGTGTAAGACTTGCATGGTTCAAGTACCAGCCTACGAAAGTCATGATCACAGAATTTCAAATTAGCCAGGTATAACAAGAATTAGAGGGAATATATATATATGCTGTATATTAATTACCATCCACCGAGATTAACCCCTCGAACCTTATCTTTTCCATAAGCAAATCCTGTAGCATTAGCATGACAACAAATTGCTAGAACAAAAAATATGATAAAACAAAGCTTTGGTTTTAGCGACATTACTGGGGATTATTGATCTTAAATTTTTGACGGGCTTATATGTCAAAATGCATAGTGGCACCGTTGTAAAACCTCGGCTCCGTGTGACTATATTTAAAACACAATTATTTAAAATAAATGAGCTTTTAAGTCGTGAAATCGGGGGAGAAAATTATGAAATAGCTACGGGAGTGAAAATGAGGCTAGGTAATTGCCAGTAGATATCCTTTTTATGGATTGATGTAAAGCAGGTGATATCTAAGATTCCATAATAAAAATGATAAATGTTGCTTAAAGAATACTCACTAGGAAAGATTTACTCGCCGGGAAACTTAGGATTCACCATTCGCATATAAAAAGAATAATATCATCAGATCATTTGTGATTAATTATTGAATTTACAGACCGATCGAGAATTTTGATGTTAAATGGCGGAGGGCTCAACCTAAGATGGAATGGTATTGTGAGTATGCGAGAATATTTATCTATGGACCTAGGATTTTCACAAATATGAATTGATGAACGATAACAATTGATTTGGATACTAGTTTTTAATTTAAACTGCATAGTTTGTGCATAGGATCAAACTAACCATCATAGTTTGCACCCGGTTTTTAAACTAGAATTAATTTGGATGTCTTTTACTAAACAAGGTTTAAGTTAAAATGTGTTCTAAAAAACCGACAAAAATGTATCGCAACAAAATGTTTGAAACACGCGCATTTTGTCCTTATCACTGATTGCGTAATCGTGAATTCTTTGTCCTGTTCTACTTTTCCTAAATATGCTGTATGTTCTCATTTTACGATAAGTTAATCTCAGTAATATAGATTTTAAGATCTATCTTGTTGAATTTTGAATCATTTTCCGAGATAAAGCCCACGAGATTGCCAATAATGGAACCCCAAAACAATAAATTTTTAATTTCATATGTGCAGTGATATAAGTTAATCATCTCGGTCCACTGGTAGATCTTTGATTGACTTGGACGTATAAAGCATATACAGTATACTGTAAATAGCTGAAGGTTTGAATCGGATCGTTTGTCGAATGGTAAAAAAGCATTAATTAGATGTAGGAATAATAAAATTTGGGAATTTTTTCTTTTTTATTAAAATCAATAATCGGATAGCAATTTATTATTATCATTTTATTATTTTCATAAATTCCTTGACGATTTAAAAAAAAAATATATATATGTTTTCTATAACATTGATATCACATCGGTTAATCATAAAATCGTGCCGAAATATTTTTATTAATTATTTTTTATAATGTATAGTATTGGTTTTTTTCAATTAAAAATTTATTTATTTTCTTTGATATTATATAAAAATATGTATTTATCTACTTATTATTTACAGATATTTATTTCTGTTTTTTCACTCATTATATTTGTATATTGTAATTGTATATGTATTTTATGCAATTGATGCAAACACAATCGAGACTTTTGTTTTAAAATATTATCATACGCAAATAATGTTAAGACGATTCGTTGAATTCACTTTCGTTTTTGTCACAACTTTTTCACCGTGTTTCTTCTTTTACGCATTCTCTCATTGATTCTCTCTATGATAATTTTTCAAATTTCGCTTCGTGTTCTTCATACCTTTCTTGTTTTTGCCTTTTCAGCTTCTCGAGCAATTCACCTTCAAGCATTTGTTCACCGGTTTGTTTGATGGTATCTTCATTGTTCAATATTACTTGTTTGATGCCGTATTTTTCGATGTATTTGTCCGATGATACTTTGCTCATTTCTTTTTCCTATAAAATTTTAAAAGGCTTATATATAGAATGTTCTCTTCTTGTAAACTGAAGGACAACAGAATACCTACCAGGGCAACCTTAGCATACTTGAATCCTCGTAGAAAAATTCTTCTAGAAGACGGTCTGCCCACTCCTAGTTCCTTTAATTGCTCTTCATTTAATTGTATTATGTCTTTCCAATCCATTCCTTTGAAGCAATCATAAAATTTTGACAATCTTGTTCCGCGACACCAAGATAGGAAATCTTGAATTTCATCAATCGATAACGCATTAACGCCGGAATAATGTGAAAATAAATATGACCTTGACACTTAGATTGATACGAACCATGCTCCAACATGTGAAAATTTGGTTTAAGTATATTTTCTTCCCAAAACTTTTTATAATTTGCTCTTAACGTTATCCTTCTTGGATTAACCATTTTACCATCATCATTACTCTCCTGCAATACATTGCTCTTCGACATTTTCATAATTTGATTTTTCCTTTTTTGAGAAACCTCCTCAACAGTATTCAATTTTTCATGCCGAGTTGATTTCGGTAGTGGAAGTGGTCGAATCTTACTGTTTGGAACAATTACTTTCGACACAATAGAGAAAGGCGGCTTCCGACTTTTACCTGAAGTATTTTTGCTTTGATCTATGTACTCAAAAATTCTGATGGGTTGCTGTTTTTTATGCTTTCTTATGATCGCTCCATCTCCTCGTTTACCCATCTCTTCATCTTTATTATTTTCGTCCTCGAATGCCTGGTTTCGCGGTAAAGTTTCTTTATGAAACCTTTTGTTACCAAATGATGATTTATTCTTAGGATATCTTTCTTTATCACCCTTTATAATACCGTTAAAGTCCTTTTTACTTTTCCAATTACCATCGCTGCTGTCGCTAGAACCCTTACTAATTTCCCAATCATTAATCTCATTTCTATTGGATTTGTTTTGCTTTTTGCCTTTTCTTATGGTAATAATGTGTGGTACAGCTAATCCATAAGATCTTAATATTAATCGTGACGTTCTGAGCGTAAAGAATTTTATCGATGAGTTTGGTATAATTGATGACGAAATTGATGTTATCATAGTGAAGGTGAGAAAGGATGGTTTCTCGGGGAGTGAAAAAAAATTTTTTTAGAATATGGTGTGTTGATCAACACGTGATATTAAATACTCGTTTTAATTACGTTGCCAAACAATCTTGAAGATTAGCAAAGTTAGAAAACACGTACAGAAACATGTTTTGAAACCGTTTAAAAATTAACAATTGTTCACACATTGAGAAATAGATATTTATGGAAAGAGAAGACAACAATGATAAATCAAGTTATTTTCTCTCAACAATAAACAATTTTCGATTCTGGAAAATTTTTCAAAACTAAAGAAATCGACTTTATTTGTGTTTAGCATTTACACATCAAATTAGATATGCTGTTTCTTTTGTTTCAATAAATTATATTCCATTCCATTTAGTCGACTACACTTTTTGAATACTGAATCCACTTAAGCGCTTTGTGTCTGCTGATTACTAATAACCACACTTGTTATTGGTGTAATAATCTCATTTCTACTATCTTTTCGAAAATGAAACATTAACACCAAATAAGAAGATGCGATTTCACTTTGCACTCAATACGCGTTTTCTCGAAAATTTAAGGTTTAAATACGCGATATTTTTACACCGTATACTCGATAATTTTATTAAAAACTATTTGAAATTTAAAATCTATATCATTTTTTCTTTAGATTTTTTAAAAAATCTTATTTCAGTGTTTCTTATAAAATGACCTAATGAAATTTTTTTACAATATAATTGTTTTTGACAGTTTAAAAATAAACAAATATGGTTTATAATATTAAAAAGATTTCAAAAAATCAAAATCAATATTAGAAATATACTGAATTCTTTCTAAATATACACTATATGGACAAAAATGTTGTACATTTTAAATTTATTATTATATAAAAATGTATATAATAACTTTATTTAAAATTTTAATGTGTTATTGTTTATATTTAAAAAACATGTGTATAATTTTCATTATTATTTTTTTTTAATAATAGAATAAACATTAAATATCAATCATTTATTGATATATAGATATCTAGATAATATATCAAATATCATCTGTAATTTTAGACCATAGCTAAATACTAGCCTATCTTACTTTTATTATTCCAGTGATACTAGTAATACTTTTAAAGTGGGTTTATATTTTTGGAAGGACCTATCTAGAGAATGGAAATTCTATTACTAATTTTAAATTATTTAATCTACTGGTTCAATTTTTGTATAAAAGCAATATACTAGTCAAATAGTATTATTTGGCATGCTGCTACTTGTCAAACATTTGAATATACAATCATTTGGTATAATACCACTTGACAACAATTCAACATATACTAAATTATAAAATAATATTTTATTTTTATTTAATTTGCTAATACTCATCAATTATTTAACATATTTATATTTGTAAATTAATTATAATAATTATAAAAAAATAAAATTAAATTAAAAAAAATTAAAATTAAATATAAATTGTTTTATATCTAATTATATTCGAATTTTAATATTTTTAAATATTATACTTGTGATATATTTTATAAAAAAAACTCTTTTCGCTGATCCCCTTGCCAACCCAAAAAACAAACGTTTTCAAAAATAATTTTTTATTTTTGATAATAAAGTCTATACACTTTCTTTAAAAACATTACTTTCTGAAGGCAAATGTTTTCTCCACTTGTTTACTTTTCCTTCTTCGAAAAACTTTGGATATTTTAGCGACAAAATAAACAAAGCTCTATCTATTTGATCTACGGCAAGAACACCTTACTGGAAAGAAGAAACCTATAGAAAAATACCCTTCACTATTCTCTTCAAAGATCTGGAACTCTAGAAAGTGAGCCACTAGTGAATACATTTTCCTAGCTCCATAAAAATCTGGGATTTACCATAAGTAAATACCTTGATCTTGAGACGGATGGATAAGCTAGTTGGTCCTGCCAAGCGAATACATTTCCCAAGTTTTATAAAAACCTTGGATCCATTATAAGTTAAACTCCTATAGTTCAGGCAGATGGATAAGCTGGTAGAAGTCTATTGCCTAGTATATGAACCTTTTTCACCACTCATACATTTAGTAGATAGTACTTTCAAGCATATCAAAATTTTCTTAAATTTTTCTGGAGAATTTTGCCTAC